CTTCCCTTCCCTTCCCTTCCCTTTCCCCCCCTGTTTTCTTCCCTTCCCTTCCCTTCCCTTTTCCCCCCTGTTTTCTTCTCTGTGGCTTCAGCCGTGCCATGCCCTGCTCTGCCTGCTGGGCACCTCTGAAGAGCCTGGTGGCAGGTGTGAGTAGCTGGGCACAAATCCACACACACACTCACACAGGCTGTGACATGCAATGCAGTGTCCCAGCACAGCATTTCTCTCCCTTTTGCCACTGTGAGACAGCACAGGTGAAGGCTGAGCACAGTACCCTGTGTTAACTCCTGTCTGCTCCTTGAACTCCTGTTGCTGGTAAAATTCTTCTTCATCCTGATCCAATGAAATTGCTGTATGGGATGAAAGTCTGGAAATCTGACCTCTCAGATCTTCAAGACTCTTCTGCAGGTAAATGTTGTCCTAGTGCTGTATGATTTTAACAGATGACTTCTTCCCCAGCAATCAAATTCTCCTTGCTGGAAGTTCATTATTATTTATAGAAAGAATGATTTTCTCATTCTTACTAGAACTGTACTCTTTCTCCCTCCCTCTCTTTGACTTCTCCCTTTCCTTGCACTCTAGGCAACTGAAGTTCTGCTTACAATGGGAAAAAAATCAACAAAAATGGAATATATACAAACAAACTGCAGTTGGCAGGTGAATTACAATTATGCGCTCAATGTTTAGTGTACAGTGCAGTAATAATGAATAATTCGTACACGGAGGCACCAGATTTTTCACAATATAGTTTAATATACATTTAAAGGGATGTATTAAGGATATAAGAGTATAAATACTTCATTTCAACTTTTGTGATCTGAACAACTGTTTAGTTAGATGCATTAGTAAAATGCATCTTCAAACACAACAGTACTTCTGGTTTCTGGTCTAATTGTAGAACTGGTGTCAGTAACTCATTAAAACTAAAAAAAATTTCTAAAAACCTGTGTTTTTGGAAACTTAACCAAATCGTGTAGCACGGCTAATGCAGTTGGAAGACATTAGTTTAGAAGCTAAATATAATGTCTTATTTAGTCTATTCAGGAAGGATGAAAGGGTCACTCAAAATATTTTCTCTTCTGAAAATTGATTTACTTGATGAAGAGCCCCAGAAAAATTTTTTTCTTCCTAAAATTTTAAGCCTCCTTTCCATGTGCAATTATTGTCTTCTGTCACTGCTTATTACAAGCACATGAAGAAAACTGTATTTGTGCGTGGAGCTTCAGCAAACTGAGTGGAACCTGGGAACCTGTCTATGCTGTAGAGCTGTGTTAGATTTGTTAAGATTTGTTTTGAAAAGTTTGCTAAGATCATTAGTTATTTCTGATAGAGAGCATTACTTTTTAAGGGAATGAAAGAATCTCTGAAGAAACAGTATCAACTTACACTATCAGAGGCCAAAACAACAACAAAAACAAAATAACCAAACAAAAACAAAATCCCAAACCAAGTAAAAATGAAACGGACATGAAAAAACTGAGAAATTCTGAAAATCTCTAGCAATGAATGGGGACCAAAACTTTTACATATGAGTTATTTTGACTTCTAAGTGCTTATAGCAAGGGCAGGCGGGGATGGTGAAAAATGATACCATTATTTAATTATTCCTTTAGAAGATTTTCTCAACTTCAACTATTTCCCTGCTGCAGAATTTTAATTTAGTTGCTTGATTTTTTAAATCTCGGGGAGTTCCTTTACACTCTTCTGTGCCTCCATATTCCTGATATTTGCTTTCCAAGAAAAATATTGAAAGATAATAAATTTTAAAAATATGAAATCTTGCAATTTTTTTCTCCTTTAAATACCCAGTATCAGATAGGCGTAGGTACAACAGCAAAATATGATGAGATAACATACTGCCAAAGAGGTTGGTGGAGGTTAACAAGCATGTGAGCAACTTCCTTACTAAGGAGAGTCCTATGGACCTATCCTGGGTGCTGTCACCTCCTCCTACTTTCTGTTCAGGAAGCAAGATGATGTGACAATGGGCAGAGCAGACAGCAGTGGCAGTGTCTGGCATGAGCAGCAGGAAGGCAGAGCCTATTTTTAACAGATGCAAGGATAAATTTTTATTTAACATTTCTGAAGTGCTCACACACGGTGTGTCACCCCGAGCCGCGCGTGTGCAGGGGTGAAGGTGTGTGGGTGTGCTTTTTTCCCGTAGAAGGGATTCTGGGAGAGGGAGGTTTTCATCCCACACGTACCAGGCTGAAAGCAAAGAAACTGTGTTTAGAAAGGTGCTAAATAAAGTAAGTGATTGAACAGAGGAGAAGGAGGATGAAAGAACTATGCTGATGCTGCTGTCAAAATAAAAGGGGACAATTGCTTAAAACAAAAGCCTGGAATACTCTAGTGTACTTAGAAGATTTAATTAGAACTACGTAGGCCTGATTTGCCATTGTTTGTGCCTTATATAATCATATAAATTGTTCAAGGTACCATATTGTAATAAGGGGAGATACTTACATTATTCATAAAGAGTGAAAATACATTAATGTTGCTGCACACTTTCAAATAAAATATATATGCAAACAAATAAAGAAACAAACAAAAAAAAAAAGTCATGACGTCTGTATTTGAAAATGGTCATGACAGAATGCAGAGCAGCCAGAAATCTCCAAACTGTTTCTATTTTCATTTGGCTGCTTGTACCTTGTTCTCATTATCAACATAACACTTTTATTTGTATCAATGCAAACTATATGCAGTTGTATCAAGATTTCTATATGGAAAATTTTCACTGACTTTGCAAGGCAACGTTAGCTTTGTAATGTATCTGTTATAGTATATTACAATGTTGCAATAATATATATTATCAAGCAACTGGGATATTTTGTTTGGCAAATATAACACAGAAGTTAACTAGTAAATTTTAAGACAGAAGGGATTTTCATCGTTTGGTGGAAATGTTTTATCTCTTTATTCCCAGTTGATCATACGTGCAATGTACAATTTTCTAGCAAATACATGGCAAGCAGGGGGAATGCTGGTTGTTATAAGGTCCTATCACTTGGGTCAGGGGGAAATGCTCTAGAAGGTGGGAGGTAGCATCATCAAACACAAAATTCCCTATTAAGCATGTTTACATAGGAGAAACACCTGGAGTTCAGGCTGGCACTGTAATGAAATAATCAGGACAGTGAGGAGACACCCAGGAGAAGATGGGGAGATGTCAATGCTCCTGAGGAGAATGTGGGTAGCAGTAAGGCTTGCTCTACTGGTGGAAAACCAGACTGCACAATGAGGCAAGACTTCTTTGGCAGGAATGTGTGGCTTATTGTAAAGCAGGCTGTTGCTGGAATTTAGCAGTCTGAAGAAAGAATCTGACCTTTAAGAATAGTGTTCCAGAGAGAGGACGGGTTTTGATCACTTTTTCATTTATCCCTCTTCCCTAGCAAATCTGAATGAACCTGCAGATCTGTATCTGCAAGGAATATAAAAAAACCCTTACCTGATTTAATGTAGTAATTTTGAGGGACTGCACTTTAAGGAACCTATTTTGTAAGGTTAGAGTCCCATCAGAGCAGTCATTCAGCCTAATTTGAATAATACTTGGACTTCCATGAGTAAATTCTTGCTGGAATTTGCATCTTAAATGATTATCCGGCCTTTGCAGTCAGCTTCAGTAACAGAAATTTAGCTGTCTTTGGCAAGCTGTGTAAAGAGTTAATTAACTTCACTGTGTTATACCTTCTGTTTGGTTTAGTGAATTTATCTCTCTTCTGTCCTTGGCTGTCATTAACTTTCAGTCTCCTTGAATGCAGTCTACATGGATCTTCAAGTCCTTCATTAATTATTTTAGGTAAACTCATTAGACAGTGTTCCTTTTGTCTTTCACATTTCAACATTTTAATCATATTTCAAGTCTCCAATGGTAGAGGGAACGTAATTTTCTGTGCTGTATTCCATTGATAAAAAATTGCTGGCTAGACCTTTCACAGAGACTGACAAGCTCTCTGAAGTTACAGATTCCCACAATGGAGTCTCCATCCTGTCAGCATGGATGGAATCACTTATTCCTAGCTAGCCTACTTACCTTTCAGTTGTTGCCACAGAGCGAGACAAACACGTAAAAAATATAGTGTAGTGACTTTTTTTTACTTAAAAACATCTAATTAAAAAAAAATCTCATTGAAGAACTTGAAAGATTGATCCTTTTATAGTGTAAGAAAAACAGCGTGATCATAAATCTTTTCCAACATTAGTGTTCAGCAAGGTGACAGTTCTCATCCTAGCTTATGGGATACAGGCATTACAAAACTGACTTTAGAAATCAAGTGGCTCTGATTGTCAGAGAAATTGGCAATCTTTTTATTGCAGACTTTTAAACATTTATTAAGTAGAAAACAGAAAATTGTTTTAATAAAAACAATAACTCAGACTGATTCCAGTCAAAATTATTTAAGATATATCTCTGGTTTCTATGTGGTTAAAGTCTTGAATTTTTCTAGAAGTCTTCTTTCATACCACAGACAAACAGACCATACAGATTTTCCCCAAGTAGAATGTATGAATGGAAAAGATTTTTTTAAAATTTAGGTGGTGCGAGTTTTGTGAATGGGAGAATTGCAGCTCTTAGGCTGGAATGCCTTTTAACATAATTTACTAAATCATGTCCTGAGGGTCACATCAAACCATTTTCTTATTATAACTAGTGTGAAAGAAGAACAAGATTACGCCAAGTTTAATTAGATTGGCCCCATAATTTATGCTGCTGAGTATTTGCTGAAACTGTTAACAGAACATTCATGTACTCAAAGTTTACAAAAATAGCTTTCTTCCAATGTCATCACAGACTCAGAGTTCCATAAAGACTGTTTTGTCTAAACGTGTGCAAATATATAGTCATAGATAGGTATAAATTATATTTTTCAGCATTTCAAATTATTTCAATATCATTCTGCTGTAAGTCAATTTTATAAATATTTGCTGTGCTGGAATTGTGGATACTAAACTTCCCTTGAATTAACTATAACCAGGTTTTTGCTGGGTTTGTGTTTTTCAACAGATGCTTTTGAAGTGTCTGAGAAACAAAATAATCCCATGTTTACCAAGCCAGGAGGAAATGTTGCTTTTACTTCCCTGATAAAATTGGAGATTCAGTGCAGCAAGCGATGTGGGAAAGGATTAAAGCAGATTGGGTAGATATTGTCATTCTGTGCAACTCATCAGGAAAGCAAAGCTTTGGTTTGGGTTTCAAAGAATGTACACCAGTGGATTGCTCTGATCAGGAAATCTCTGGAACTGTCTTTCAAAATGTTACAGCCTCTGACTTTGTGATGTACTTCTGTGTATCTGCTGGGAGAAACAAAAACTATATGATGAATTTTACTGTGGCTGTTAAGTAAAGGAGAAAATGGTAAATGTTCTAAAAATAGAACCTTCTGAGGCATTAACACTTTTACACAAATAAAATAACTCTTCAGTAACAAGTGAGGATTTATTTAAATAACACATTCCAATTAGCAGCATGTACAAGATAGCTAAGTTAACAATAAATCTTATTTTCTCAAAAATAAACTGGGTTTAAGCTTGTCTGATCTTATTGCAGGACTTTAGACCTGTTTGTGAGAAACTGGTTTGATATCAACAATCACAAAATAGAATAGAATAATGGAATTATTTAGACTGGAAAAGACCTCCAGGATCATCAAGCTCAAACTTTGACTGGACACCATCTTGTGAACTAAATAATTCCTGTTGTTTCTTGAACACTTCCAGGGACAGTGACTTCATTACCTGCCTGGGCAGACTGTTTCAGTGCCTGACCACCTTTTTCTGATGTCCAACCAGAACATCCCATGGTGAAGATTCAGGGAGTCTCTTGTCCTGCCACTGGATGCCCGGGAAAAGAGACCAACCCCCACCCGGCTACAACCTGTTCAGGTGATTGTAGAGAGTGATAAGGTCCTCTCTGATCCTTCGTTTCTCCGGGCTAAACAACCCCAGTTGCTTCAGCTGCTCCTCATATGGCTTACAGGAAGGAGATGCTTTGGAAGGGGAGCCTGAATTTGCAGAAGAGGTGGGCATTCTGCCAAAGAAGTCGAAAGGAGAATTTCCCATCAGCAAATTGTACTGCAGGGTCCGTCTCTCTGGGTGCCTCCCAGTGACCCCCGGCCAGCCCCGGGTCGGCAAACAGCGGGGGGGCAGCCCCGAAGTGACCGACAGCGGGGGGACACTCTCTGGTGCCCCGAGGGTACTGAGGGCAGCTAGGCTAGTCACCTTTGCAGCAGAAGAGACACTGGAGACATCAGTGGAGGGTAAAAGGCCGACTCTGAACAGGGGGCCAATCCAAGGTTTATTCGGAGCTCCCCAGGGAGCCCCACACCTCAGGGTGCGCCGTGCTCAGAGTGAGACAAAGGAATCTCAAGGTTACATTTAAAGGGGGGGAGGAAACCGAGGGTAGATACATTTGCTGACCAATAAAGACCCTCCAGGGATGCAGCCTTAGGGGATGGACATTTGGGATAGCGTATAACATCATCCTTGGAGGGCTGACCCCTGGCTTCGGGCTAATCACTCGACGGCTTTGACCGAAAGATCTAGATAGAAGGGATGGGATGCTGAGTGACTGACAGAGAGCCAGGGCGGGGATTTGGGGATGATCTCAACACAGGAGAATGGTTACACAGGTAGAGGAAGGGGGTACAAAACAGGGGACATCATCGGGGGGGAATAAGGGGGTACAAAATCCAACTATTACAAAGTATTACAAAGTATAAAAGCACGCTGCAACAGCAGGGCCTTGGGGATGAGACCTGTCCTCCAACAAAAGCAAAGAGCACACTCACAGTCATATTTGTCATGTAGAGATTTGTGAACTGGGCTCCACCTTATTCAGGTAAGGGGTTTCCTCATGGAGAGCTGAGAAGCTCTCTAGATTTTGCTGTTAATATTGTCACAGCTTCCTTATAATGGAACACATAGACTCTTGAAATTTCTCGTACTGTGGGTTTAGTTCCACCTTTACTTCTATTTTTTGTTATGATCTATCCCACCCCCCCCAAAAAAAAAAAAAAAAAAAAAAAAAAGGAAACTATCCCCCCCCCGCCCAAAAAAAAAAAAATAAAAAAGAAAAGGAAAAGTTTTGCTTCTTCTCTGTCAAATGCATTTTGAAGACCTAATCCTTGTACCACCCAGATCTTCTTTTGCAGCATTCGGTCCAGCTTTTACTTCTCTGTCCTTGCTCCTGGTGATACATGCATATTTGGCAGAGCTGTAGCGTGATCTAAAACTACAGAATATGTTTAAACTGTGATATTGTTAATTGAGAAGAGGAGAATATGCTTGGGGAAAAAACCATGATGACCTGCTTTACTTTGAATACTTGACCACAGAAATCCATAAAAATTGGCAGAATGTGATAAAAATACAGGAAACAGGACAAAAAGTCCACACCTCTGACAATTTTAAACATATAAATTTCAAAATCCTGACTATATTGATATAAGCAAGTATGTCTTAATTGTGAAACAATAGAAATATTTCCTTCTAACTCCCAAATGCAGTATTCTAACACCAAAATGAAAACATATAGTTGCAAAAAATACAGTAACCTTCAGAATGATCAGTTCTACCTATACAAAATATTTCTTCTCCAAAAGTAGAGTTTAGTTTCCATGCTTCTTTTGCTCTTGAAACAAATTCAATTTCTTATTTTAGTCCTAGCAACAGTAGCATAGTTGTGGCTGTTTATTGGAGAAAAGAATATGAAAGCATTGAAGAACATGAAGTACAATATGAGTCAGAAAACACTCCATTGTATCCTTTTTAAGCGCCCACCCTGTATTATTAAGTGCACTTTGCTGAGTTTTCATTAATTTCAAAGAAAGTGAAATATCAAGGATTTCCTATTATTTCTCTTCAACATTTGGAACTTTTTCATAAGATACAATCAATATTGCTGGCGTGACATGGAAAAAACAGTAAGTGGAGAGAAACAGCAGGTCAGGCATGAGCTCCCACTGCACCCTTTGGCACAGCAGTGAAGTCTCTCACAAACTCATGAGTGACTTACTCTGCTTGATCCAACAGTTGTGGCTAGAATAAACAAGCTGCTGCCAGAAACTTGCTGCAGTATTTTTTTTTTTTTTGAGTATGTTCTACCAGTTCAGTCATGTCACTTATTTTGGCTTAACGTTACAGCTAAGCCATGCTCCAGCTCGGATTTTCTACCAAACTCTTCCAACGCTTTAAGCCTGTTGGTGTGATTCTGCATGGGTGAAGCGATTCTTCTCACCTTGCCCAGTTCCAGAGTTATTTTGAAATACTGAGTCTAGAAGGTGGGAGGAGAGCAGGAGAGCTGCTGTTTAGGTTTTAGGTTGAGAGAGTAAGAAAAAAAGATAAGAACCCCCCTTTCATTTTTTAAGCTGCTGCTGAGAGGAGCTCAAGAACTTTTGAAGAGCAGGAATCTTAGGTGAAAGGCTGTATTAAGAGCACAGGATTATTTTCAGAAGAGGCAGCAGTCCAAAAACTGCTGATTCCGAGAGGTGGTATGGTAGAAAGAAGCAGCTTGCTTCTTGTCTGGAAGTGAATGAATTTTTGCAAAGAAAACACTGTGGAATTATTGTTAAGAAAAAAGGGAGAGAGGAATAGATATTCAAGCATCATGAAAACCGTTCTTTTAGTTGTATCAGTAGAAGTCAGCAAGCTGCATTTATTATTTTTGAATACTAGAGAAAATTAAACCATGAGATTAATTCAGTATCACTAAGTTTATCCACTCTATCCTACTAAATATTGTGACTGCTATTTTCCAGAAACAGGAATTTACAGGTTAAATTGGACTTCTGCAAATATGTTTTGACCTCAAAACATGGAACATTTAAAGCAATCTATTTGTAAAGTAGTGTAGTTCTTGTTGGATGACTCTTACAGAAACAGCTGAATATTACATATTTATATAATGTATTCAAGAGATTTTGAATTAATTTCTGATGTATTCTTCACTATATCTCTCCTTCTAAAAATTCTTTTAATTTGCAGATCAGTCATGACACCAGATTCCACATCTGAACCCATTTTCTGTGCTTTTCTTACCATGCTTTTTTCTTTGAGACAGTCTTTGAAGAAAGGAAGCAGACTTGCAATCCACATATTATTTTGGTAGATGATTGGGAAAGAATGGGACATGCCATATGAAAAGACTGAAAAATTAGCAGTGCTGGAACAGAAGTACTTATTCCCTCCTGAAGACACAGACATTTCAGAGAGTTTACAAATTAGTTCTCACTTTAGCAGAAATCAAGGTAGCAAGTTCTCTTAGGCAAAGTAAAACAGAAACATGTTTTTGTGTGGTCCCCCTAGATCTGAAAAATAGGTTAGTGGTTGTATTTACATTCATGTTTAGGGGGTTACATCACAGTTCATACTAGGCCTTTCACCAGCTTTGTTCCCCTCCTCTGGACACATTCAAATACCTTTACCTACTTCTAAATTTCTGGGGTCCAGAACTGCACATAGTCCTCAGGGTGAGATCACACCATGGCTGAATAGTAGGATAGTCTTCATTAGCATCCAGATGAAGAGCAGGGAAGCACTTGTACAGTCGCTGGTGTTTATCATACATTCCTTGAGAGCTGGAAGGAGACAGCAGTGCTTCTGGGCCATGGGAAACAGACAGAAAATAAGAACTGCACTAAGGGGGTGAGGAGAACCAGGATAGGAGTGAAATTATCTTCCTTCCTCCTTCATGAAGTCATTCAGTATGAACACTTGGTATCAAACCATCTCTGTGGGTCTCCACACAACCAGCCAGCAGTCCCTGGGCTTGAATGCATTCATGCTGGATTTCTGCCTTTCAGCTATGGAGTAAATCAGCTATGGGGTAAACGATTTCAGTGATCCCCAATCATGATACCATACATGCCAGTCCATCAAGGCACGTGACAAAATACATGAAGGTCCTGACAAAGCAGCTTGAATCTCTTGCTAAAATAACTCTCTGGCCCATCAATGCTTCCTCCTCAAAACCAAAGTTGGAGCACTGAGGGTTGAAAAGTGTCCCACAAAAAAAAATTCCCAAACTTGCAGAGAAATACTAATACTTGACAGAAGTTGTACTGATGCTGAAAATATACTTAATAACCTCCTGTCAGCATAACACCTTTGTTGAGAACATAAGAACTAAAGAGACACATGACAAGCCTCTGACATGTTTCTGCAAAATCTTGACTGGGATGTTAAAGTCAGTAATTACAAATGGTTTTGTGTAGTTAAAGAAAACAAATGCCTAAGGGAGGTTTTGCTCACTTCAAATGAGAAAAGGCACGCAGGCTTTCAGTTGTCGTTAGTTAAAAGAAAAAGAATCTAATGATTTTTTGCATCCATATTTAACTGACAGCTGATAATCTCAGCTCTCAAACTCATTAACTCAGAGATTATAACCATGACCTGATAAAACTGAAGGTGAAACTTCAGAAAAAAAAAAAAAGTAGTCTGGAGCAATTAAACTGAAGGGTGGGGATGCTGCTGAAATCCACAACTCTATCCAGAGTCACCCATGCTTGATGACAATCAAATAAAATATTTAAATTTTTTTCCCCTTGCTACTTATAGGATGGGGTTTTTTTGTATTACTGTAAGTACTCCCTGGCACAGACAACGGCTTTCTCTGGTGGTTAGAAGTAAAAAAAGACATTATAATTTTTCCTGAATTTGGAGGTAGGTATATGAACCATCCTGCCATTTAAAGTACGCAGGAGCTGAAAACATTCTGTAGTAGAGTGATTTCATATGTGGTTATGACACAAAAGGTGTTGGTTTGTGTTATCAGGCAGCTTTGTCTATAGTGCCACATACCTTCACCAGTGTAAACTTCTGAGAGAATTTTCTTTCTTTATTCTTTCCAGTAAAATAGCATTGGATTCAAGGATAAGACTCTTCTGTAATCAGTATTTTTTGTCATCCTCTCCAATGAACACATTAATACAAAAGAGGCGTACCCGAGCAAGTGTCAGGTGGGATTCAGGACAGCCAGGTAAGATGTGAAGCTTTTTGATCCTGGAGAGGAAAGATATCTGGTGATGCTCAGCAGCTGGTTAGCTGGGATTACTGTCATTAGTGACACTGGTTGCTTTCCTTTGTCTATGAACTAAGCACAGAACTTGTCTACCCCAATGGAAGCTGCACTTTGGGGCAGCTGTGGTTTCATTGTAGAGTGAGCAGAACATTAAAGAGGGAGTACACTTGAAGACAGATTTTAGCTCCCATTCACCAATGAATAGCTGAGAACTTGAGCTGTGGATTACCTGTGTGACTTTGATAATATTACCTCTGTTCTTTTCTCCAATGCTTTTCACCTAAAAAATAAGTACCTCACCACAAACTTGAGCACTATAAGAACAAATCGGCTTATACCTTGAAGCCATTTTCTTGTCTGTCTCTAGTTATTACAGGTTGTTATTGAGTTTCATTTGAAGATATGACTCCATTCCAAAGAAATCAATGCATTTCAAGCAAAGTTACTACAAGTTTAACTTTTTCTGCCTAGGTTGCAGTTTTCAAAGAAAGCGTTTTTGCTTAGGCTAGAACAAATGGGGCAGGTTTCTTGACATCTGTCATCAAGGCAGGTACAATACTAGGTGGTTAAAAAAGTGGGATGATAACAGGAGAAATTTTAGTGACTTTTTTTTTTTAAAACAGATTTCTTTTTGAATTAAAGCAGAAATTAACTGATGCCATTGCGTGAAGTACTGAACAGAAAATCTCTTGAGCATTGAGATGATCTTCCTGGTACTCTGAAAAATAATTTACTGCCCATGGAAGTATTGAATGATTGTTTGGTATCTCCTGTGGGACAACCTTTACAATCACAGAACCACAGGTTCAGGTTGGAGGAGACCACAGTGGGTCATCTGGTTCAAACCTCCTCGCTCAGACAGGGTCATCCTGGAGCACATGGCACAGGATTTTGTCCAGATGGTTCTTGAATGTCTCCAGTGAGGGAGACACCACAGCGTCTCTGAGCAATCTGTCCCAGTGCTTGGGCCCGTACACAGTAAAGAAGTTCTTCCTGACATTCAGGTGGATCTTCCTGTGCATCAGTTTCTGCCCATTGCCTCTTGTTCTATTGCCTAGCACCACTGAGAAAAGCCTGGATTCATTAATCTTCTTGGCATCTTCCCTTCAGATACTTATGGACTTAACAGGTTGGACTTGATGATATCAAAGGTTTTTCCCACCAAGCTGATTCTGTGATTCCATGACATTGATGATGTCTCCTCTCAGTAACCTCTTCTCGAGGTTGAACAGGCCCAGCTCTCCCAGCCTTTCCTCATAAAAGGGACCCTCCAGCCCCTTGATCTCCTTTGTTTCCCACACCAGTAGCTCCATGTCTCTCTTGCACTGAGGAGCCCAGAACTGTACAAACCACTCCAAATGTATCCTCACTAGGGCTGAGTAGAGGGGCAGAATCACCTCCCTCAACCTGCTGGAATGATCTTCCTAATGCACCCCAGGATCCCAACAGATCCCTGATCTGCTTTCCAACAGATCAGCCCCAGCCTATACTGGTGTGTTGAGTTATTTCTCTCCAGGTGCAGGACCCTGCATTTGACCTCACTGAATTTCAGACAGTTCTCTGCCCATCTCTCCAACCCACTGAGGTCCTTGAGAAGGGCAGCTTTCAGACAACCCTCTGGGGTATCGGTCACTCCTCACAGCTTTGTGTTAGCCAAGAACATTCACTTAAGTAGACTGAGGACTTTTATTAACCATATATTAAGTAACTTACATATGGACAGCTTTCTCACCAGGGAAGGAAGGAGATAGAAAAGGATGGTACAAAACATAGCTATTTCTTTTTCATACTGTGCTGTATTCACTCACCTTTGGTCATCCCAATCACAACTTTATTAAGAGCTGGTTCAGCATAACAGAGGCTTTTTAGAAATGAGGAAATTGCTGTTAAGTCTGAATATTGAGCATGAGCTGTCATGGAATAATGTCTTTATATAATCACTGATTTTTCAGCTTAGTTTGTGATAAAAAGTTCATGCTGATTTATATTTTTACAAATTACCAATTGTATTTATTGCAATAATATTTTAGCAACTTGGGATCACAAATGGTTTATTACCTACCTAGCTGAAAGGATTTCTGCTGCTGTTTCAATGTTAGATTTCCTGCTGATCTTCATCACTACTGCTTGTCACAAAAAGGGGAGTAATAAATCAATTTGCAAAACATACTGCAGCAGGTAAGGATGGATGTGTTAACAGCTCATCCTACTATCCCCCTCATAACAAAAAAAACCCTGGTATCCATAAATAATTGAATTTTCTCACTAAAATTTTAAACTTGAAAAATCCTATCAGTTCTACAGCCTATGAAAAAGTGACACCCTCTTGGTTTTTTTTCGCTTTTTTCCACATTAGGGAAACAAATGGCTTACTCAAGTTCCTTTGTCAGCTAAATGCTTACTGTGGCATTGTTGTTACACGTTAAGGGTAATTTGTCAGGAGCAACATCAAGCTAGGCATTGCTATTCCTATTTTGAGCACAGAGAACAGGTGATATCTTGAAGTTTTCTACATGTTCTAGCATTTTTTGTCCTCTGATTTCATGTTCCAGATTTACAGCTGGATCCAAATTAATAGTTTAAACCTTATCTAAGGTATCTTATCAAACTTTATCTAAGTTTGCTGCATTCCCTCCAAACATCTCCAGTGGTCTGATCAAGAATCTCTCTTCTTCCAAAGGAAAAAAATGTGAGCAGAAAATGTATTCCTTCCCCTACCGCAACATATGATGCTGCTGGAATTTTTGGGCAACATATTCCCCAAATAAAAAGGCCTTTTCAGGGTTTTATGACACAGTGCTAATCTCATGCATGTTGCAGTTTGCAAGTCTACCTGGATTTTTATTGTATTTATTGGTTTCAGTGAGAAAGTCAGTAATATCAGCATTATATTGGAATTAGATATTTTAGACTATACTATCATGTATGATGCAGTTTCCACCGCTATGTTTCTGACTAAATCTATGTCTTCAGAAAGAAGAGGAGGGTCACAGAGGCTTTATCAAAAGCTTTGTACTCTACTCAGATCTGGGTAAGGTCACCTGTTGAGATGAAGATTACTCATGGTTTGTACTGTATATTTATTAAGAACTTTCTCTTCTGTGTCTACTCTTTATATCCCCATAATCTTGTAGTGTAATCTTAAACTATATAGACAGGAAAAATTGAAGATTTTAAAATATGATTACTACTACTCATTATTTTTTGATGAATACCCCTTAATGCTCTACATACAGCTACATTTAGAGACTACTCTGGGCTATGTTACTAACAAATTACATCTTTTGATTTGATAGCCTTTTTGTTATTTGTCTCTTTGTAAATGTCTTTTTTCCTCAAGTCATCACTTGTAAAACTGAGGCAAAAAATCATATTGTGTGATACTCTTTCTCTAATCTGTTTTTTCCAGTTCAGCTTCACTACAATTCTTTAGGATAGATGTTTCTTTTTTTTTTTTTTTATTTTTTTTAATTTTTTTTAATTTTTTTTTTTGTTGTTGTTGTTGCTTTTTTTTTTTTTTTGTTGGTGTTGGGTTTTGTTTGTTTTTTGTTTTTTGTTGTAGCAGTCTGTGTTTTGGAACACAGAGTCTTTTTTTTCCCCCTTAATAATCCTATTCAAGCCCTGAAGTTTAGAAGTGGAAAGACAAGGAGCCAATTTCACTGCTTCTCTCTTGTCTCTTGACACCCTTATTCGGGGGTGTGTTTAGGGAAATGAGCGTTCATGGTGGATGTGAGACCCCATTTTCACAGTGGATGTGAGACTGCCTTTCCACCTATCTCCTCCCAGATCTCACTCCTGTATGATCCAGTGACAAGCCCCACTGTCAATGTCACTGTCAATATGTCCTGATAAAGCCAATTTCTCTCATTCTGACTGTTGGGTCACTGTTTGTACCGGGATGAAGCTCTTCCTAGAGTGGCCATAGGTTAGGGACCAGTCTTTTGCTTCAGAAATCACCTTTCCTCCATACCAGTTTACCCAGGCATTGTAAAATTTAGTTGTCTTAATGAAATGGCTAATTCTTAGCATAGTCAATAGCTTCAGAATAATTAATGTTTTAAGATGGGTGTAGGAGAGACCGCATCAGTATCTGAAGAGTGTGTGTGTGGGGAAGGGGCATTTCACTGGTGCTTTATCAGGGGGCCAATGTGAGACAGCTGGGAAACATATTCAAGCTGCAACTTCTTTTTTTCATATGACTTGGATATGAAAAAAACTATTTGTATTGATGGTTTCATACTTCCCAATAATAAGTCAGCATCTGAAGAAAATTTTTTCTGCTTTTTCAAAGCAGCAGTTGCTTTGAGAAAAGACCTTCAACTTTTTCTTTCTTTCTTTTTTTTTTTTCCTTTTAATGTTCTTCTAGCCTCCTTCTAACAGTTATGGAAGATCCAATTTTCATGGCATACACAGCAGAGAAAGAAGAGGAGAATAATCATCACTCAGGCAGACAGAGGAGATTTATGTCAACTGCAAAAATGTCTCACAAAAACATTAGAAAAGATCATTAGGTTCTTTCTTAAGAATGAAGCAATCAGAGCACAGGCCTTTTATTTACAGAATAGACTTTATTTTCTCTGTGCTGGTAAGATGTGGAAGGTCAAACTGGCTGTGCTGGTAGGGCCTGAGCTGCTTTGGCAGGACAGTGATGAGACCCTGGCTCTTTTGGTGTTGTATTGCAGCCTATCCCATAATTCATATGCAGGATTAGAGACTATTTGTACTTCTGCAATAGAAACACTTTTACCTAGGAGGTGGACTCTTAAGGATCAGTTTTAGAACACTCTAATATGCAGAATGGAGCTGCATACGTTTACATAAAGTTAATTTGGTCTGAGAAATCTATGTGTATGAGAAGCCTATGTGACAGTGTGAGAAAGAAAATGTGTTTGATGTTGTCTATGTTCATGGTTTTTGCATCTCAAATTGAGAGCTCTATGGAATAATAAATACCCATGATTTTCCACACAGGAGGTGTTATTTTGCTGCTGGGCAAACAGTGCTATTCAGCTGACAAAAGCAAATGTATCAGGGCTCCTTGAACGTAGATTTAAAAGTATGAACAGCAGCTTGGTATCTGACAGCTTTGTGGTTTCACAGGCTTCTTGCCATTCACCACAGTAATTTCAGTGTTTTCGTTTTGGGGATGCAATTGAAGTGTAGCCCCTGCTCTCCTCCCCCACTCCTTCACGCCCTTCACTTCTCCCCATGCCCAGAAGAAAACAAAGCAGGAAGACTCTGTCACTGTCAGGTTATATTTAATAATTTATTATAAGGTTTAATTGAGCAAAAAATAAATGAGAACATGGAAGGTATATGAGTAAATGGTGCAAAGCAGAAGAAAGCATGACTGAGAACATTTACAAAACAATACACATACATATGTAGTTGTATGTGCGCATACGTATATATTCTGCTGAAACCTACAGAAGAAATCACACAGAAATTGAACAAACAGACAAAAAAATCATTAAACAAACAGAACTAGAAGGCAGACCTGAGAATTAGGATCTATGCATCTTTTGGCCTTTTACAAATCTGCTGAATTACTGAGGACAGAATCCCAGTAAATGAAAGTGTGTTGTTACCACGACAGCTGATAATCATCCATGTCAGCATACTGCAAACTGCATGCCTGGCCCACCTATGCCTGATTCCACTTTTCTCTTGAAGCATACACAAAAATGTTGCTGGATATGGTGTTTGGGGTTTTGTTTGGATTTTTTTTGAAAGGGGTTAGTGGTGGAGGCATCATGAGCCTGCCTACAAATCAAGTACCGATTTGCTTGGCTGGCTAGGAAGGGCATCACAGCCTGACAGTGAAAAGCACATTTTGCACACCCTTCTCCAGTGAAAAGCTTTCTTCACGTGCACAGGAAAATAGGAACCTAGTTTCTTCTGAGAATAACATGGACACAAGGCTTTTCTTCACTATTTGAGCAATAGGAGTGGTTATCCTACACTTCAGCTAAAAATCTAAAATCCTAAACTAAAGCGTCCTTTCAAATTACACTGAAGACTTAAATTGTTTACAATGTCATATACCATTAAAAACATCTTCTTTTGGTTTTCTGTACTCCTGAACAAGGACATGTTTCAATGGAGGGTTTTTTTTTTAAATTTCACTTGCTGAAAGTTTTCAGATATATAAATGCTTTAATGTGAATTTGATGAGGATACACAGAACTGTACTACTAACAAGTTGGTTTATTTCCTGAGTTATCAAATGTCATAGCAGTTAATTCTAACTTGGGCACAGCCTTATAAATGAAACCTTGTAGCACTGGGTCATTTCTTATGATCCCCCGATAGTAAAATGCCAAAATAACGGTGTAATGGATTTGATTACAGAGAAGGTCTCAGTTGGAGTCCTGATACACAAACATCCATAAGCTGAGAAGATGGTATTGTTTTACTGCTTTTAGAGACTGTCAGAATACATCCCTGCTTTACTGAGGGTAAAAAACTGGGATAGGTTGAGATTAAATATCTGGAATACCAGATTGTTTTGATTATTTGTGGTACTGCCCTTATTTCTTTTCTTGGCACTTTCAGCTTGTATTTTTGAAAAAATTGCTTATTTTTGTGATTTGAAGACAAAACAAAATCTATAGTGCACTCCTTTGCAGGTATGTAATCTGTTTTAATTCAAATTCCGTAAACATATTAGTTCTACCAGTAGGATAATCCACAGGGAAAATCACATCACACATAGCATAATAAGAACAATATGTTATTTTTTTTTTCAAAAACAATCCCAAAACAACAGCTTCATTTCTGTATCATAGTAATATCAGTGAACAGCAGCTGAACAAGTGACAAATTAAAACCAAAAAGAAAACAACCCCAAACTTATCAACATTCTTATTGGTTTAAAAACTAGCAAGATACACACAAGAGAAACTTCCAAAAGCTCAATTTGAAATGCAATATTATAACTCTTTAAATATTTTATGAGTCTGGCAGGTTGGGACCCAATATTTGGTATTTGGATTATGTAAACAGACTTTCCAGCATAAACAAACCATGGTTTATTGCTGCTTAGTTTCAATATTTCCCATAGATTTGTCCTTTCCTTTTGGATTTTTAAAAATTTCTTTTGAATGAACTCCACCAACTGCAATTTGGAAATTTTATTTTTAACAGTTACTGTGCTGTTTCATGCTATATCACTCGCTCAAGTAGTTAAGAGGGAGGAAAAAAGAATCAATGAAGCAAAATGACACAACCATGGATAGCAACTAGCTCAGCATACCATCTAAACTGCAAAGTAGTTCTGCGTTTTTTTTAAAAGTCTTAGAAACTTTGCTGAAAGGAAATAAATGTAATAAAATATATTGTCATTGAAAAACTGAGTTTTGAATACCTTGAGGGGTATTATAGGGTAACTACCATCTGTGTGATTTGAAAATGAATATATGAGATTAAAGAAAAGTAAAACCTTTTCCATAATAATAAAAATAATTTTTTCATTGGGTCAAAACCAGAAATGTTTAAATTCAATCTTCAAAGGAATATTCAATGATCAATAGTACAACTAAGTCTTTAAAGGGCGTAAACTCAAATCTCTTTGAAAAAGACTTATGAATGTAGGAAAGGCAGTCACCAGAGTTTGAATCAACAGGACAAAAAATAAACTCACAGTCTATGAAAGAATGTGAAAGTTAGAACCTGTTATCTTCTTCATTAATTTCAGACACATTCCTTTACCTTAAAGAACTTCTCTGACTGTAATAAGTTCATGATACTGCTCCTTCTGCTAGTCTTCTGCTCTCCCTTGGCTGTGTGTCTTGGGGTAAAACAAGATTTCAGTGAGGAAACAGGCTGTTTTAAGGGCTGGACCCACCAAGGAACACAAGAAGCTGGATACCCCCTCTTTTGGAAGGGTAGTTCAGCAATTAACCTTCTTTATGACCTTCACCTGACCTAAATTCCCACCCACCTTCTCTGTTTGAAGAATGCTCATACATAGCTTGTTCTAACTATACTGTGCAACTTAACCACCTGCCTCCTCTCCAGGTCTTATTCCAGGACTAGGGGACAGGAGGAAAGGACCAAGGATACACAGCAGACAGAACAGTTGAAGTATAGCTGCTACCAGCACTTGCTAGTTTACTCCTGAGAGTTCCAAATAAGAAACGTTCCTTCAGAAAAAGGAAAGATTTAATATTCAGAGGCTTGTTCAGAGGATTGATCTCACTACTGGTTTCATTTCTAGGGTGTTTTTTTGTTTGTTTGTTTGTGTGCTTTTTCGTGTTTTTTTTTTTTTTAATTTTTTTTTTTTAAGGGCGATGATTATTATTTTTGGAATCATAAATATATCAGGGCACCAGGACTCTGATTTTTCAAATTTACTTTAAAATCTTATGTGCATCATGCTCCTTTAAATATACTCTGTTATGGAGCTCTGTGAAAACCCAAATCAATGGTATTTATTTACAGAAGCTGAAACTCTGCCTCAGTGAGTACTCCCTAGTGCAATTTCCTTCAAAGCTGAGATGCTCAATAGGAGTTAATCCTCTGAACAGCTTTGTAAGTCTGACACTAAAGGTTATTTCCAAAACCAGCCTGTCTGTCTACAAGATAGGTGCTAAAATGTTCTTTTAGGCTGCAGACCCCAGAAGTAGAAGCTGTCCGCCAAGTTCTCAGACTGTATTGTTCAAGGTGTAAGTAAGGCAACATAAAAAACATTTCCAAAACACATTCCTGCAGAACCTTGTTGGGCTAGAGCACAAGACACATCTTCACAGCTGTGCCCTGCTGGGCTGTGCTGTCAGGGTATGTGTGGGCTCAGGGGACCACTGCTCCTTTGATATCTCAGGCAAATGGTTCCACCTCAGGCTAGAGACCCACAGCAGTCTTCCAAACTAAACTGGACCAGGCTTTTCACTGCCACGTGAAATTCTGGTTCATCCAGCATCATACCTGCCAAATCACTCAGGTGATTTGGGAGACCCTTCCCAGTTCTCTCCCAGCCTGCATCAGACAAGTAAGCATGGTCTCTCCCCTGCCCTCTGAAGCTGGACTCCTGCACAGAAACAACTCATATTTTTAGGATGAAGAAGAGCCTGCAGGGCTTGGTAGGACACTCTTCTACCAAGAGGGTGCTTGTCTCTGCTTTTATCCATATTTTTTTTTGTTGTTGCTCTTTTCTAATAGTACAATGCATTGAGAGTTATGAGAAGAGGACAAGCATCTGGATAACCGTGGGATAAACGTGTGATGAGTTTGCCAACATTTTCTTTAAAGCAGGGGAGCCTCAGGAATACTGAGATAGCCTCAGCTGTGTGTCCTCAGATATTACTGGGGCAGGCTGCCACCATGTCACAGGACTGACTAGTGCCACTGCTTTGACTAATTTCTTGGCCCTGATTAGGCTTGATTTATAAATCTGTAGATTAACCTTACTATCTGTGCTATACAGTTAGAGTTAAATATCCTTACATATAATTAGAATATAATGTTTGAGCTAGAAATATCAGAGGAAATGTACAAAGC